TATATAATTTATTTTTCTTATTTCATTTCTTTTCATTGTGATATGTCTACCTCTTGGCTATTCAAATTAAACTGTTCCTACGTGCTAGTAGTAGTAGTAGGATCAATTTTCTTGTGGAAAAAATGTTTGCGATTAATTATATCATTGATAGCCTTTTTGTACGGAGGCAAACGGTACCACCAGCAGATGGGAGTGGATATTGCTCGTAAAAGACAAAGGTGCATAACAACAACCTGAAGATAATCAACATATGTAAACCGTTTAATTTTCAGTTTTAGATCAGTCATTATGTTTAAAACAATGAACGGAATAAAGCATATGTAATAGATAGAAATACTCAATACAAAAGTCTTAGCAAGCTGCTTGCTCAGTAAAATGCGCATCCGATTGCTGTGCTCTGTTAATCGTTTTTCCTGCAAACGAACGTGCCTAAAGATCCTAATGTACATCAATGTCACAACCATCAGTATGGCTATAGCAATGGAAAGGAAAATACTTTCAAAGATATTATTTACTTCTGAAATTCTAATAGCATCATAAATGTATAACACAATTATAACGGTAACGGTTACAACTACTACTGCAAATGTAATTAGACAAATGTACATGTACCGTTCCCGGCAAATGCAGGTGTTGTAGGTCAGAGGGTGGACAACTGCAAAGTATCGATCTACAGTCATATAAAGAAGACCCATCAAGCTCAAAAATTGTCCAGCGCTGAAGAATGCTTGTAAAATTAATATGACACTGAAGTTGACGCCAACAAAATTTACAATGATGCATAAAACGAAGAACATAACACCAGTAGACAGCTCAACAGCAAGCAGATATATATATAGAGTGTTTGTTTTTGTTTTCAGATGTTTTGCGACGGAAACAGCGTAGAGAACAAGCAAGTTAAGGAAAATGGCGCACATTGAAAGAACAAGGGAAATTAATATTCCAAGAATATGTAATGAAAATAACAACTTCTCTTTGTCTTCTTCACAAGAGTTATTGTTAGCCATTTCTTTTCAGTAATTCTACTGTTAAAGTATTATGTTATTACAATATTCTTACAATAAAAAAAAAGATTCAAAATAGCATACATTTTACTTTAGTAAATATTATTTTAGATATACAGGTACATAATTAATTGACTTAAAACTACAAAATCAATGCCACCAACGAAAGTTGAGAATATTTATATCATGCAAATGAGATAGACTATGAACTTTCAGAAGGATTTACATGACATGTAATTCATCAACTTCATCTAAGTATCATTAGAAGATACATGCACATACAATAATGAACTATTTGATTAATTTTTTTAAACCAAGTTACAAAGTCAAAGCAAAAATCCTATATTAATATCTACAGTACAAAACTTAGATGAGATTCTACAAAACAACTCTTATAATTGAAAGTATAGGACTGTAACGCTCATTTATACTGTAGGTTAAAAGATGGACTGGTCTTGGGAGCAGAAGATAACATGTCCCACTAGTAGATCACTGCTGAAGAAGATCTGTTGCTGTACTAACTGGGACCAGTACTAGGTAGACTAGTAGATCACTTGCTGAACAAATAGTATTCACGCTGGACCACAAGATCACGACGTAATAAAACAACAGTTCAACCAATAGGTTACTTGATGAAACTGTACGGACTTGCTGGATCAACATAGTATTAGACAAACCAAGACTTGCTGGAATAGTAGTTACAGTAGCTAACCAAATCAACAGTTACTAAGTTTGCACTTTACTTTCTGGATTGAGTACAAGCCAAATCAATAGCTTATTTGCTGGAATTGCTGCAGACTTAACATCAGTCCTGCTGTATCATGTACCTGTGAGCCAGTGTGTTGTTCATATGAGTTTTATAGCTACTTGGATTGCCTTTCAAAATTTGCTCTTTAACTACAAGACCAAGATATTAAAAATGATTATTACCTCACACTGGTACTAATCAACCTTGCTTCAGTTGTCTTCGAAAGTATAAACAGTGACAAGACTGATGATCATAATACAGTAGACAATATGAAACATGTCCACTTGTCAATATCTCAGGTTAAACATTAAAAAATTTGACAATGATGTATTTCAGCAATTCATGGCACTTGTGTTTAAAATTAGAAATGGATTGTTTTGATTATATCCTAACCATGTCTTTCTGACATGAACAATAATTGATCTGTTTCAGACCAATCAAAACACTGACATCCACTTGAGACACAGATTCTAATAAGTAGATGAGGATTGTTCATAATAAAGAAATAGGAAACTAATAATGCACGTAAAGTACTATGTACCAACATATTCATGGTTTCCTAATACATGGTTCCAGTCTTAAAACTTTCTCTAATACAATATGTTATTTCTAATTTCTTTGAAATTACTTAGTATTCGTTTTCAACCCATACACATCTAGATGTGTATAAGAGACAGTATATATAGTATTTCTCTTTAAATTAAAAAAAATATTCAATAAGTATCAACTGTTATTTAATGCATGGAGGAAATTATATTTCCTTCATGATTAATGTTATTAAAGATGTTATGTCAGCAACATTTGTGGCTGTTTTTCTAAAGCACAAAGCTGACTTCATGGCAACACAATGCATTTTATGTTTTGTCCAGTATATCCAAGGATTGATTTGTGCCATCAACTATCAACCAAATCAGAGAACAATGTCACAGATAATAGTCATTTAATCAACTACAGTTTGTCACTTGATAATATGTCACCAACATTTGAGGCTGAACTTCTAAAGCACAAAGCTGACTTCATAGCAATACGATACTTTTGATGTCTTGTCCAGTATATCCAAGGATTGATCGTGCCATCAACTATCAACCAAATCGCGGTGATCGATGCCTCACAGGGAACAATGTCACAGATAATGCCTTCGCTAACATCACTACCACTGAAGAATAAATCCTTGTGACGGATTAACTTCACTGATTTACCAATCAAAAAAGGTAGCCACAGCAGGTAAGTAATGACAAGGCGAATTGTGAAAGAGATAACAAGCTTTAAGTTCCTATTCTCGTTTCTTCTACCAGTGAAACACAGAGACAATGGCGAATGTTTTTTTATCACTTGTGACTGAACTGCCATTAGAGTTTTGAAAATTTTTCTGTAGAAAAAAGCAACGGCAGACAGGCTGACAGCCCCAACCACAATGAAAACTGTTGTGACAATTAAAATAGCATTTAAAAATGCACTGTTTCCTAAGTGCGCAGCTACAATGGACCCAATCACCAAGACTAGTGTTAAAGACCACATAAGAATAACCGCCAATACATACTTCCATGGATGTGGATATCGCTTGTACGTCAATGGTGAATGCACAACTGCAAGGAATCTGTCAACTGCAATTGCAAGAATGGTACAAGGGGATAGATTCAATATGCACAGCCATATTAATGTTAGCTGCATGGAGACGATGAACGGTTGGGTGTAATACATAACGGTAACTAGAATGACCAAAAAGCTGCTAACTATATCAACGACAGCTAAGTTACCAACCAGAATATTAGTTTTCACTTGCAGCGTTTTAGTCTTCAAAAGTGCTACCAGAAATATAGTGTTCCCGATAAACGTCACAACAGCTGTGATAACAGATACCGTGTAATAAACTACGGTACCAAATCCACTTGCTTCAGTGCTATTTAAAACCATCTTCAGCCTATTCCAAAATTAATTGACCTCTCACAGAAAAAAATATCTATGTATGCATTAGTTTAAATGCAATTCAGACTGTGTGATTCATTTAAATAAACTAAAACTGAAGTATTTTGGTCCGACAAAGATATTGATAAATCGTTTCAGTCATAATTTTCCTTAAATTATATGTACAACCTGATGTTTCAAAATCATTTTGACTACTGAGAATGTTGTGTTGTTCACGATGAGCAAATTGACTCAGTTTCAAAAATTTAAGTACCAGAATGCATTTGGAGAATCAATAGCATAGCCTTAGGTGTTTGATTAAGTACAACAGACACTCAAGAACTACGTCACTTTTTATTGCCCATGGCTTTACAACCCGCAATCATAATACACTATCAATAATGATATTATGCATCCTATTATCATACAAAGAACTACAAATTGTATAGAATAACAGATTTTAATAATTTTTCAATTTTCTAACCAGTTTATTTCTATTAGCTTTCATAATGTATATTGAATACTACCTTATATTTTCTGCTATCTAATGGGAAACGCATAATTTATTGTGGTTTATTACTTAATTTGAATGAACATAAAAACATCTATACATCTTAAATTTAGATACCAACAACTACAAATTGTACAGATTTTTAATTTTTTTAATTTGTGAACTGCTATATTTAATCATTCTCAAAGTCTGAAGAATACTATATGTTATACTATCTAATGGGAAATACATTATTTATATTTTTTATAGTTTAATTTTAATGAATATAAATGAACTTGCATACTTAAATGTCTAATACGATGGTATTGTCCAGCATCCATAAAAGATTTTAATATTTATAATTTTATGATGCTGAATATGAATAAAATATTGTCTTGTAAAATGATGGAAGAATATTAATATTAACTACAAAAAAATTGAGCTGTGATTTTGATGTTAATGTGCCAACCTTTGAATTCTAATGACTTGGGTTAAATCAAGCAAAAATCATAATTTTTCTTAAATAATTCTGCAAGAGGTACCAAAACTTACTAATGTCAAGCCAAATATAATTTCAAAAATTCTATAGATTTATAAAAACTCTGCACACATGCGTTTTCTAGCACCACCCTGAATAAAGAACTCAGCACTTAACGGTTGGCTATAATGTAATTTGACACTCGGTCAAGTAACTATATGTAACTTGAAACTTAAGCATGTTTTCACTTTGCAATTCCTGATAATAATCATTGGATTGACCTACTTGATTCAAAAAGCGCATCGAGATGAGTACTTATTTGCTGCAATACAAATGATATAATAACGAGTGGATTTCTAAGGTGACTTTAACTCCTTTCACCAGTAATTGAGTTACGTGGGATAGTAATTGAAAATAGCAGACACAACATCATTAGGCTCTGGTTGTATTAAATGGCTTTAGCCATTAAATCAAAGTACTGCTTTCATATGTAATCACTCGTCCTTGAGCAACATACTTTATTATAAATTTAATTCTACTCAGGTAGAATATGAATGTTCAACATATTATTTTAATCTTATTTAGTTATATATTTTATAATACCCTATAACCAAAAACAACATATGTGGCAAAGACAAGCCAAACCAGTCACTCGTCGCAAATCGTGTTTCAGAGAAAATGGCAAAAACATGTTGGAATGTCAAATTTTAAAAAATCCATTTTATTGCACTAAACTACCCTTTATATATCTACACATCATTCTATGCTGTTATTTTCCCCATTTTCAATGTTAAAACAATAATTTTTAAGGATTTAAAGATAGTTTCTGCATGAGAAATGCCTGAAATCATAAACTTTGATGGTTAATTTCTCATATATTGTTCTTTAAACAGCTGTGTGGTTAAACGCTTGTAACTTCATAAGGATTTCAATGATTTTTTTACCATTTTATAGCTATTATTTTACTCTTTAACACTGTATTAATAACTCAAAATCGATTATTTTACTCTCTAACACTGTATTAATAACTCAAAAATCGATTTTTGCAACGAGTGACTGGTTTGGCTTGTCTTTGCCACATATGAGTAAGGTATTGAAAAAAGCTGAAAGGAATGTAATAGAAAAAAATAATACATACAATGCAAAAATTACCAAAAAACTGTCAAGGAGTACACTTGGATAAGATAAACTTGATTGTCATAATCTTAACAAGGAGAAATGAGATTTGGCCGCTTTAGTAAATCAATGGAAAAGTAAAAACATTTATTATTTATAGTCATGTAACTAGTGTAAAAACTATCCAGGGACGGATCCAGTAGGGGGCATGGAGGGGCACATGTCCCCCCGGTTTGCCACTAAATTTTGAAATTTCAAGGCATACATTGAAATTAGAGCTCTCACTTATCTATTATGAATATGTTGTGCCCCCACCCCGCTTGAAAAATTCTGGATCCGCCCCTGCTATCCCTCGCCAGACACCATCCCAATATTACATAAGCTACGTTTTTTAGTAGTGCAGTCATGGCTAGGACTTGATAGTGTCACAGGGTACAGGGTCGTTGATGGTTGCGGAGTTTATTTATTGTGGTCGGTACTGGTCATCAGTCTGATCATAGTTGCTCTACCCATGTCCTGACCATGTGCTTGTTAACTGTTTATAATCTATTTATAGGTTCAACGAACAAATTCATCTGGTTATGTTTTACATTAGTTAACTAAAATGAATAATATTTCTCCTTAATTATTCACAGCTTGTTAGCTATTTTAGTGTCCATCATTAATTTTCACCAATAAATGACACAAGGTGTTTTATGGATATTAAATAAGCCAAGGTAAATGTTTATGCTGGGGTCATTCTACGACATATGATCGCAGCTACGTCGTGATAGTGTGAGAGAGACTACGATCAGAAGGCAGGTCCTATTTCCAGTCAGATATAGTCGCTGTGCTAGGTCGCGAAAAAGTGAGGTGTTTTACACTTTTTCAATATACGCAGAAATGTACTTTCCAGCCATTTTAAAGTATAAACACCTACATTTTCCCTAGCAATATACCATATTGAACTCTCTCGATTTCCATCACTTAGGTTAGAACGTATGAAAGTGCACTATTCATAGTACCACAATTTTCTGATCAAATAATTTGAGAGCATTTTTAATTTATCAAAATGCTTTTTACTTTGAGATTAAATTGAATATGAAATATAGCTTACCGATCATGTTCCGCTATTTTCCGTAACCTTGGCAGTACATCAACAATTTCTATATTGGAAGCCTCTTGATATTCCTGGAGGGGAACCTAAAAAGAAAGTATGAAGACTAAGCAATTAGGTCAATAAGATGACTGAAATAAACCTAAAATATCCGTTCTCAAGATCTTCATAGATGAGGCATCAACTAAATGTAGATAGAAATGAAGAAAAAAAGTCAAGCATATATTTTAACTAAAGAGGTCTCATTAATATCCATGTACACATTTCTTCCACATAACACAAAAACATTTGAGGAGAACTGAAAGAGCCATGATTCGGAGGATGTGTGGTGTGAAACTGTCCGATAAAAAATACAAATGAGCTCATGGTTAGGTTGGGTCTGGAAGAACTATCGTAGAAGTGGTAAAGAGAAGTGGATTTAGATGGATGAGTGCTGAGAAGGGAAGATGATGAACATGTGAAAAGAGCATGGAATCTGGAAGTGGATGGTATAAGAGGAAGACCAAAGCTTACATGGAAAGATATGGTGAAGAAAGAAAGCTGTAAAGTTGGTCTAAATGAGGAGGATGCTCAAGATAGGAAAAAGTGGAACATAGGATGTCATCATGGTGTGATGGTCAGTAACACTTCGTAAGATAGAAAATGCTGACCTAAATAAATAATGATGATAAAATAACCTACAATTTGGCTTTTGTGAAACTCCTCACTCTTTCTGTATCATTGGTAAATGTTCCTAATTTTATCCAAGATAACTTTGACACATTTGGATTTAAAATAGAATGAAAGATACAGATGGAAAATCAGTACAGTAACTAGGTAATAAGATGGTCACATAAACTCTTCAGGACCATTATCATCGTACTCAAAACGTCTTAACCCACACTCCAGTAACATTTATTTTGTCTAATATTGTAGACACACGGTAGTGATGGTGATGCCATCTTAAAGCGAGGGTGCACACCTTCCTACCCTTAGCTGTTGCGCCCGTTCATCAAATAATTTATGGTTGTTTTTTTAGTGGTTTAAAAGCGCCTTGAGATGGTTTTTAATGTGGAAGGCACTATATAAATGACCACTGATCATATTTTATACAGAAAAATCAACAAAATGACTTGGAAACAGTAAAGCAGAATGTACGCTGGCACAAACACAACCTCCCTCAGTAAAGCCCAACAGGCAAGAATTTGATGACATTGTTAGTGACTGATTCAAAGTATACCAGTAACTATTTTGTGTAAGCTGTACTTGAGTGCATGGTGCTAAAGTGATCTTATCTCATAGAGAAAATTCATAAAATTCAAATATCAATGTAAATTCTTAAGAGGTCGTCTTTAATTTCACTTTATTACCATAACTTATTTTCCATAATTTATTAGCCATAATTTATGCTTACCTTTTGATTTATTTGAATAAAGTCCACATATGTATCCTCTGTCGGTAGTAGGAATATTAACGCATTTCCTGTGTTGCCTATCCTTGCTGTTCTTCCGCACCGATGAACAAAGGCACTTTCAAACACAAAAAGAAATGTACTACAGTAAATGTGTAGTAATAAAAAGACAGGTTTTGAGCAATGCCTTATTAATAATTATGTTAGGCTATGTGTTATATGTATTATTAGGGGACAAGTTTTGTATCAATAGGGCACAAGTTTTTTTTATCTTATTTAGAAAGAAAAATGAAGAGGGACAGAGAGGTTCAAAAGGGGGAAAATGAGACTGAACAAAATGTTCCTTACATAAATGATACAAGTGGTTCTGACAAACTAAATAGGCAAGAACAAAACATGTAACTAAAATGTAGAAAGTATCTATGTTATGAATTATAAATTCAGAACACAAGAGAATTTCACCACGAAAGAAAGAGAAAAGAAAAAAAAAAACCACATTTATAAACAACTGATATAAACAGATTACACTTTATGATAGTATGTTCTTGAGTAATCACATTTTCAACAAGGGATTTAAGTCTCGCGCAACTCACAGGAATCTCTCTGAAATCGGTACAACCTCCCAGACTCCCGCAAGCCAGAATCTCCTGGACAATAACCTATCTCCCGCAAATTCATAATATTTGCATGTTTTCACTGAATTATTAGCCTGGTTCTCACGAGAGCCCTAGCATTCGGATCGGGAGCTAACCGTTAGCGCTAACCGTTAGCACCTGCGTGAGAACGCCCGATCGGTTAGCGCTAACCGTTAACGGTATCCTAACTCTAACGGTTAGCAAGCGCTATCGGTTAGCAAGTTGAGGGCGTTTCTATCATCAACCAATCACACGTACGCATTTACAATTTCCAGTTTCTTATTGGCCAGTGATTTGATCATTATATTGTTGGTATCCGGATTGGGATTTTCTCGCATGGACGCACGACAGCTAACGGTTAGGATCCGGATCTTACTAACCGTTAGCTGCCGTGTGAGAACATAGCCATAATCAATTGTCTCAATGAGGTCAGTGCCTATAGGTAACACTATGTGCAGCAAAATGAAATTAGATGTGTAAGAAATCTTATTTAACCAGATTTCCCCCGGAAAGGACGTCTTCAAACTTGGGACCCCACATTTCATTAACACAAACGTATGATAATATTTCTTTAGTGTCCAATTTATATTTTCAATATATCCATAAAGTATTATAGAGAGTTCTTTCAATATTTCATACTTTTGTATTTCTCAAATAATATTTTTAAAAGTGATTTACCTTGCATTATTGGGTGGATCAAACTGTAAAACCCAGTTGACTTCTGGGATATCAACCCCTCGCGCCATTACATCAGTACAGATCAAAACACCACTGAAATTAATAAAGTATTATCACTTAACAAAAAATATAAAATTTTAATATTTTATGGAAAATGGCATTTGAGTTCATTCACAAATCACGAATGAACACATAATTAAACTGATGAAGAAACTCAAAATGACTATTTTTAAATAAATAAATCAAGATAATATTTATATAGTTTTCTATTCATGTATTTATTAGGTGAATCGTTAAATATTTTATCTCACTTCTGGCTGTAAAAGCGCATAGATGTCTTCACATTATGCGCTATATTAATTCACAATAATTATTATTTAACTATATTAATAACATAAACATTAATTACATTTTTTAAAATATGGATCAAAAAGTGATATGCATCAAATAATCAAAGCAAAAATATTATTTAGTAAAAACACCCCATTTTTCAAAAAGTAAGCTGTACCTTTCTAACTTTCGGAAGTCTGCAAAGACTGCACTGCGTTTGCCTTTCATCTTCCCATGTAGTGATAGTACACTTGTGTTTTTTACTAAAATTTCAAGAGCTTTTCCAAAGTATTCCACTTCCGCACACGTGCTAAAGAACACCATGTGTTTTAAATGCTGGATATACAATAAGGAAAAGTGGTTTTTCAAGTTCTCATTCAACACCATTACAGTACCTTCTTACTATGTATTTATGTACAGACTAAATGTTTGCATATAAACCAAATTAGTCATTAAAGATGACGTCACCAAAATTTGGCCAAGTGGGTATTGAAGTTGCTAATGACTTGAAAGTGGTATATACTAAATTGTTTGGAATGTAATGAAGTTAGTGTACTTTTTATAACAACGTATGTAGCAAAGACAAGCCAAACCAGTCACTCGTCGCAAAATTTGATTTTGAGTTATTAATAGAATTAAAGAGTAAAATAATAGCTATAAAATGGTAAAACAATCATTCAAATCGGACATTTCCTTATGAAGTTACAAGCGTTTAAACATACAGCTGTTTAAAGAACAATATATGAGAAACCAGCCTTCAAAGTTTATGATTTCAGACATTTCTCATACAGAAACTATCATAAAATCCTTAAAAAGTGTTGTTTTAACATTGAATGGGGAAATAACAGCATAGAATGATGTAAAGATATATAAAGGTTAATTTAGTGCAATAAAATAGATTTTTTAAAATTTGACATTCCAGCATGTTTTGGCCATTTTCTCTGAAACACAATTTGCGACGAGTAACTGGATTGGCTTGTTTTTGCCACATACATTTTGAGTGATTCATGGATTCATGAGATTAAGGTTGATTTGATTTAAATTTCCATTCAGACTAAAAATATGAAGAGTTTTGAGAGGCCTTCTGGAGGGACAAGGCCCATCGCTCACAGGAGTCACTGCATCCAGAGCTGACCAAGGTGATCGCTGTTGATTAGAGTTACATATTCAGCTTAAATGTTGCCCCCAAGTCATTTCTGTATGAAATATTTAAACTATTGAACAAACTTAAATTTTGTTGAATTGTAGAATAAGATGTTTCTTTTGACTACAATGACCAGTGAGTCAGGACCTGGTATGACTCTCCAGTCTAAGGCTAGGCCAGTGTTCACGCGACAAGGCTATGCAAAAATGTTCAAATTTTCCATTTGTTTCTTTCACTCCATTTCAATCTAACGGGTCAAACTTCTGACGTTTATTAAAGGAATATTTACCAAGGCTTTTCGACAAGTTAGTTTACGATAATATGTACAAATAACAAATTTGAGGAGTTTAAAACTGTCAAAATCTGTGTGAAAAACTGCTACCTAGCAGTTTGTTTTGATGTAATACCCACTATAGCAGCTTTGTTTTGGTGATTCGGTCTGATTCGGTCTATTATTTGTATCATGATACAAATTATTTAACCGCTTTTTAGTAAGTGCACATGGCGCACAGGGAGGCCATTCTCTCTGTAAGTGCTTGCCAGACGTAATGTCAATCCATTAATAATCCACTGTGTGTCATGGAAACATGTTGGCTGCTGAAACAGTGTGTGCCAGGCTTAAGTGGACTAGATGCACACCACACCAATGACTTAAATGACATTGCACTACAGCAACTGCCATTTCAGCCCACTAGCTAAAATACAAGCGGCAATAACATTGAACCAGCGAAATGAGGATGCCCTCTAACCCCATTCTGTATATTGAATTGGATACAGACAGTAGCTATAGTCAGCTACACCCCTGTCAGTTAAAAACAATAATTACCTTAAATTTCCTTAAAAATCCAACAAGAAAGTTAAATTTCTGGTCACATTCACAAATCTAAGTAGTAAAAGGTTATTAACAGTTAAAGATTGCAGGGAGCATGAATATTTTTGGTTTTGTTTATGTGATCTGCTAATTTTATAAGGATGTATATAAATTCAACATTACATTATAACAACATACTGTATCTCATAACAACAACAGTATACAAAAATAATGAAATTTTACTTACCGTGTAATAATTTCTTAGAGTAGATGGAGTTCTTTGGTCTTTCTAAACAAAAATAAATAATATAAAAATAATTATTTGTACCTGTATTTGTATCATAGTTTAAGAAACTTTCCAACACTTAACACATTTTTTCGACCGATATCCCCAACTAGAATGGAAGGAGGTGGGGCCAGTGGCAGCCAGGAACCCATTCAAGAAATTCCAGAGTGCGAAGCCCCCAGAAGCTCTGACAATTTAGGGATTTTTACTCCAAACTATTGTGCTGGGCTCCCCGACATGTGGCCAGCTCTCTCCAACGGTGAGCCTGGCACCTTAGGCCCACCCACTGGCATTACCTCTACTCTTAACTTAAACATAAAATGTTAGAAATTCAATTGAAATACTGAATTTTATTGTTAATGTTTTATTAACTCAACACAAACAGGTTATTTTGAACTATTTCTTAGCTAAAATTAAATACTTTCTCAGTATTGACATTTTTATTTACCGATGTTTTATTTGTCTTTTGCTTGACAGTGATGCGGACTGGATTGCGCAATCCTGCACGTATGAGCGATTCCACTTTATCTGTTTGTGTCGCAGAAAACAAACCAGTACGTCTCTGCTTAGGAAGGTGACCTAAAATTGTGTTTATACTTTAGGCAAAAAAAGTATTAGATTAGATGATGATAGTAATTTTATTTCATATACTTTAATACACAACCGACAGCAGGGAGCCCTCCACTTACAGAACAGAATACATAAAAAACAGCATGGTCAAAACAAAACTTACTTAAATCATTTCTTAATTTTTACTTAAAATGTACTCAAACTATGTACAGAATAAAGTAATAACTATGTACTCAAACTATGTACTCAAACTATGTACAGAATAAAGTAATAATGAAGATGATATGATTTTGATGGTAATGATGATGATGTGATGATTGATGGTGAGCATAAATATTACCATTGTCATCATATCATCTTTATTATCACTATCATTAATTATCATTGTTGCAATATAAGTAATAGTAGTAATAATGAAGATAATGTTATGACGATAATCAGGGGCAGGGCCACAATTTTTCAAATTGGGGGAGGGGGGCGCACAACAGTTTCAGAATAGATAAGTGAGTAGAACATAACATTAATATGAAATATTGAAATTTTTAAAGTTGTGTTGGCCGCTCCTCCCGTTCCCGACTACTTTGCCGTCGGGAAAATTGGACTTTCCATCAGGGACATACATACATATACAAATATATACATATACATATATATATTCATTGCAGGATGATCAACAACACCGACATCATTCCAGCTGGGAAAGTCTGCCGCACTGTCACACAGATTTGAAGAAAGAAAGTTGAGGGGTCCAATGCAAAAGTGGAAAAACATTAGAGTTGATGGCTGGTGCGATAACCAGCTCCCTTGAAGTAGTGGCAAAATGAAAATGGGGGTGGGGGCACGTGTCCCCGTGGCCTTCTACTGGATCCGCCCCCTGATAATAGTGAAGAAGATGTTGATAGTGACAATTCAAGCTGTGTGGCCCAGCAGTTAATGCTTTGGACTTTCAATCGTGTGGTCATGGGTTTCAGACCAAAAGTGACCAAAGTGCCGGACAGAAAAACCCAGTGCAAAAAGATCGGAAAAATGATTAAAAAGAAAAAAAAAAACAGAATAAAAACAATGTTTTTTCCAGCTACTGGTGGGAAAAAACAATAAATATGTGGTTTGAGACCCACGCTTGTCATATTCTTGTCTCTTTGGGCTAAAAACTACATTCCCCTCTCTTCATCCAGGCATATAAATGGGTACCTGGTAGGAGGTCAATGGCTTGAACTGAATATGGTAGTGCTAAATTACACGAACACATAAGAACACTCCACAGGGTGTGGAGCAGGTTGCACGTTTTTTCTTTTAAACCGTCCATAAATCGCGGGAGTGTTGGCGACTCAAAGTTGATGCACACAGTGTGGTCCGTAACCATGGCCTAGTCAGTTTTCTGTTTGATATCTCTTTGTGCGCCGACAATTTGTTAATAAGATACTGCATGCTGCGTATTGTCAAGAGTCTGACTTTTTATAGGTACTGTGAAATCATTACGCATTACATGGTGAAGTAGCCTATTCTAAAAGTGCTTGTCAATGGACAAGTGGTCCCTAAAATTTTTGTTGTCCGACCATAAAAAACAATTGTCCCGGGCGTCGGGCAAGCGGTTTGCTCATGCCTGGTACATCATCAATATAGGGTGTCATATATCATATTATATCATAAGGAGTATTTTTTTATGAAACATTTAAATAGCTTCTCAATCCTGTTACAACAAGTATGAAGCATAATACAATCCAAAAATAAACTAGGATATGACAATGACATGATACTTTGTATTAAACAAACAATCTGGAAAACATAATTGTTGAAATATATCAGCCCTAAAAAACTAATCCCACATACATACACACAGTACATACATACATATATAATTTATTTTTCTTATTTCATCTGTCATTTCTTTATTTTCAATGTGATATGTCTACCTCTTGGCTATTCAAATTAAACTGAGATTACACTTGTCATATTCTTGTCTCCTTGGGCAAAAAACTACTGAATGCTAAATTACACGAACACATAAGAACACTCCACAGGGTGTGGAGCAGGTTGCATGTTATTTTTGACTAATTTTTATATCTAATGACCAAAGATAAAAGCTCCTTGAACAGCTTTCATATAAACAAAATTGGTTATGGTGATGATGACATGACAAATATAATGGTGATACCAGTTCTACTCTCAATACCTTGCTTCAAAGCCCATGTCCAACAATCTATCAGCCTCATCCAAAATTAACACCTCTAGAGATCTGAGCATAGCAGTAAGGTCACAAGGTGACTTGCGTCTCTGTAGCAAGTCTTCAAATCTTCCAGGCGTTGCTATGATAATATTAGCACTGCAAAAAAAGAATTAAATTAAAGTCTGTAAGTTAGTTCAATCATTCACATTGATCCGCCTCTACTATTTTGATTATATGGGCACGTGTGAAATTAGAATTGAATTAGTAAGATCCAAAAATTTCATTGAATGGTCCTCATATCCACACCCAACTCCAGATCATCACCAAAATTTAATGATGTCTTTATTGAACCATTCTTCATTTAGATCCATTGATAAGTTTTTAGAGGTATTTAGGTCATCTGAAATTAAAATGACCCTCACAATTACACTCTCAATTGAATTGTCACCAAAACATACTAATTTCTGTAGAAAGCAAATGGTATGTAGAGAGTGGACCAAAATGGTTCCAGTGAAGCCACCTGGGGGTGGGGATAACCTGATGAGATCAAGGGGCAGAGCTCAGGCATTTTTTATAACTTGCGATCTTATTTAATTGACTTCAGGAAAAGCAGTTTTCAGTCGTGGATTCAGGAATTTGAAGAGGGAGCCATGGAGGGACTTTGAAAGATGGAGGGTCTACCACCTCAGCCCCACCCTGGTTGGGGCTGAGGGACGAAAATTATGAAATTTGCACTGTCATACAATTTTTAAATATCATTTTCTTTTTTCCCCATTTTTTTTATTTTGAAAAATTAGGGGGGACGGGATGCCTGGGCCTCCTTGAATATGCCACTGTAAGTGGCGAATCTAGGAATTTGGAGTAGAGGGCGCAAGGGAAGAACTTTCACAGATTGAGGGCTATCCATAACACCTTTGGGCTGAGGTAAAATTTTGAATATAATTTTCTCATTTTAAAATAACTTTGACAAATTTAGGGTGGGGGCGGGGTAAAAGAGGCCCCACCACCGAAAATAATACAGCACAGAGTCTAGAAGCACATATACAGGAAAATGTCATCATCATGATTCCTTCATCACTGCTGCTGCTGCTGTGGATGGACATTTGTCCAGACAATTAATAACATATTGTTTTTGATGTCCCTTTGTGTACTATAAATTTCTTGCTCTGATAATCGCCATGGCGAACGGTGTGAAGATCTAAATCGGTGCCTGCTGTATTAAGATGATTTCCAAGTGAGACTACAGATGATTTTAGTGAAACCTAGAGGGAAGATGAGTTCGTACGGGGTGGACCATGACACTAAAGCGTCTGGGAAAACACTGAAATTCATCAAAAAGCTTATATAAACAGTCAAAAGTCTTTGCTTTTACGAAGAACTACTGTAGAGGCGGTCCTAGTTGGAAACTGCTCTGACTAGTCAAGGAAGTTTAGTGGATGGATTTTTAGAATGTGCGAGGGTGAGTTTTGAATCTACCCTGGAAATTGTGGACCTTTGGTGATTTGGGGGGATGTGTCGCCCATCGCACCCCCCCCCCCAACCCGCTTACGGGCCTGAGGTTCAACCATCCACCTCTGCTCTGGTGCAATCCCACACTTCTACCAAGGTGGGGAACCAAAGACAAAATGTGTGAAGGTTAGTATGCCCCCTGAACACACCCTGGCACCACTACTGCCCAGTTGTGGAGGTCTGATGCAATCAACATACCCGTGAGTTTCAAGATGTTGGAGGTCAGCAGATGGTTTGTTACCACCGATTATCAACATCTGAGAGAACTGAGGAAGATTGGATGTGAAGTTCTGCAACACCTCGTTGATCTGGACAGCAAGTTCACGAGTCGGCGTTAAGATCACGCATCCAACCTGAAAGACAAAATACATACCACTTGTCAGAACATCGCAGTTTGTAGTATCTATCTACTAGAGACGGAAACAAACAATTATCAACTATTAGTAAATAAAGTAATAAAAATGTCATATCCTAAAAATCTTATTCACTGCAAAAATAGCCTGCGATGAGCAAATTTTGAAATACTGTAAGCTTATTAACCTCAATTTGTCCACAATGCAGAACTAGTGCAGTCCAAATCCTACACGTTGATTAATGCGGCTTAATCACATGCATCACATACATAGATGCCATGAGCAAATTTTGAAAAAAGCTGAACATTAATTAATCCCAATTTGTAGGCCATGAACTAGTGCACTCCAAATCCTACACATTCATTAATGTGGCTTTGTCACATGCAGCCCACAGAAGCAGTTAAGCTCTTCAATTTTTTTACCTATACTAGTATCATCCCATTTAAGCTAGATTGCTTGAATTGTGAATAACTGACATGGAGTGGCGGCTATAGAAATGAAAAAAATTTGAAACCTACACTGATGTTTTATTTCACTGATTCCATCCAAAACATTAAAATTGACAAACACAAGGTAACAGAGAGGAAAAAACAAAACTCAGTTGGCCGGAGAGGATTGCCAAAAAGTGAACTAAACCACTGTCTAGTGGCTCTCCGATGCCAATGAAAACATATACAAAAATTAGCATAAAATATTCAAGTAAAATAGGCTTATCAATAAAATTTATATCTGAAATGAAATGAAATCTATAAATGAAATGTTTAAATCACAACTGAATATTCTTCAGCTTCAGATGATCCACCTCACTCCCAACAGATTTTACCCCTGTTCCCCAACAAGATCCTACCTCAACATTTTACCACTGAAAAACTCATATCCATAACACTACATAAAGACCATGATATTATGAAATGCATTGTTAATTTGTTGATTGCTTGATTTGTTTCAATTTACTTACCTCCATCTTCTTCAGTGGTCCTTCCTTTCTGAGTAAGACTTCTAAAACTGGAATGAGAAATGCCAATGTTTTCCCGCTTCCTGTAACCTAGATGAAAAATATACTTCTTACATTATCTTTGTTTTTTGATAAAATACATTGTAAGTCCTAATTATGTTGTAATAGTTAGCATGTGTCCATAGGGAAGGGAAGGACAGTTGTGTGTATATTTCTTTACACTTTTATTGATTGATATTGATTGCATTTAAAATTGTCACAAAGGTTGGAATAATATATCTGTTTTAGATATTTATATTTTAAGCTATGTAAATTTGATGTTTGTTTCTATTGTTGAACCTTTGGTGAGGGCCCTTTGCTAATGTTGTACAAATCATCCTTTTATGAAAAAAAAAAACTATCAAATAAAAATAAATTAAATATGCTTTAAATATGGTATACATACCGCTTCGGCTGCCACATCCTTATGGGTCATAAGAAGAGGAATTGTTGCTGCCTAAGAAAGCACAACAGATGTTAGTGACATCTTCAATGAATGCTGCATCAAATCACACTTGCCAATTTACTGATTTACATTCGATCACTGCAACAATTCTTTGTGAAATTGGCAGTTACATCAAAAACAAAATCAGCTATTTTTTCATTTTGTTATTGATCGATTGATTGAATTTACTCGATGCTCGACATGTAGGTAGATGATTTGTGAACAAAAAATTAAAAATAAATGAGCATCAGGAAATCCTATTAGGTCTCGGAGATCATACAGTAAGTATACAGGACTTATGCCATGTTTACAATAAAAGTTCTGCTTTACTGGTTACACCACATGTTTATATATGTATAATGTATGATGCTTTGCAAGTGAAATAAACAATTGAATTGAATGGATACATAGAAATTCACAAGCAGTACATAGGGCAGCCTAAGCTATAATTCTGAAACCTTGCTTGAAGGAATCTAATTAAACATTCATTAAACATAAAACAATACAAGACTATAACATTAAATCTAATTAAACATTTGTTTCTTAAACATTTTTAATTGAATTTTCTTTATACTTTTTGATGTTCTGACTATTATTTGTTCTAATTTGTGGAATTCAAACTTTGAATGTTTTCACTGCTTCAGCGCAATGAGGATATGTTAAGATCAGATGCTATGGCTTCATCTTTAGGTAACAATGATTACAACAATTTTTGGAAAAATGTTAACAATGTTAATTCATCTAAAACTCCTCTGTCCTGCACCATTGATGGTGTTAGTGGAGAGGAAGACATATGTAATTTATGGTTCGATCATTATAGCAAAATTTTTAACTGTGTGAAAAATGATGGGTGTAAACAGACTGTAAAAAGTTATATTGATGCAAACATCTCTGATGTCACTGCTACTGTCATATCTGCTGACAAAGTCAAAGAGTGTATTAAGAAACTATCCTTAGGTAAGTCAGCTGGTTTAGATAATCTTGCTGCTGAACATTTGCGTTACGCTAGTGACAGGGTTCACATTTTGCTTAGTTTTTGTTTTAACTCAATGATCGCCCATGGGTTTGTAGCTGAGAATCTTGCAAAAGTTGTACTTGTCCCCATTGTGAAAACCAAGTCTGGTGATATCACTTCTAGTAATAACTACCGGCCAATTGCACCTGTCTCTTATACACATCTAGATGTGTATAAGAGACAGGGAATACATTGGCTGAGTTATTTTTGTAAACTCTCTTGGGACTGATGCTAGGCCATTGGGAAGAGCATTATACTTGTATACCTGCCCTTCAAATTTGAACTGGGGGTATTTTTGGAAATCCTCATGTACTGGAATTGTGTAATAGGCATCTTTATAGTCTATTGAGGCCATATAGCAATTTTTGCTCATTAATGCTATTGCTGTTTGTAGCGTTTCCATCTTAAAGTGGCGGTACACTATGTGTTTATTTAAATTTTTCAGGTTCAATATCAACCTAAATGACCTTTTATTTTTTCTCCCTTATAAAAGTATTGGAAGAAATACTCTTAGGGTCTACTTCTGAAAGTACAATAACCTTCTTTTTAATGAGTTTCTCTAACTCGGTTCTGATATTTTTAATC